GGATAAGGCCCAAATAAGTGTTTCCGGGTTATTATTTTTTTTTTGAAACAAGAGTTACCATTACGATCTTGAATTTGCTATTTGTCAAACTCCTGAGTGCTTTACTCTTTTTAAGATTATCACTTAGTGTTTCTTCTTTCTATTTGCTCTTCTTGATGAACTTTCTTGTTTGATCACTAAGCATCCTTTGGTTGCATTCTGAATTGACTTCTGTTGTAATGGTAACTCTTGCTCGGGTAGATTTTGAAAAAGAATTATTTCTTGGCTCAAATGGGTATCAATGGATATATTTTTTTTGTTTCTTTTTGGATAAAGAAAAATGGCCACACATCATCTTAAACTTTGATCACTTTATTTTCAAAAAGTTAACTCTGCGACAAATCAACTGACTTCAGCACGAGTTGTTTTTCTTTTTTATTTTCTTTTGGAAACTCTTTTTTCTTGTCTTTGAAGGATTCAAGGATCACGTAACTGATAAAAATTCTGGTCAGGCCCATTTGCTCCAATATAATTTTTGTTCATCTTGGGCAATGATCGGGGTCAATCCTTTTGTAAAATAAAGGCTGGAGGATGTATGTTTACAAACAAAGGCTAAACAAAGGCTGACAGATGAATGTTTACAAGCAATGCATACACTAATATTTCAATAGCAAATGTGATCAAATTATCTGGCCCAACAAAAGATGACATACATTATGTTTTTTTTATTCTGAGAATGTCACAAATTTGATGACTTATCTTGAAAGAATTGACTCAATTATCCTTTTTTTTTGTTTTTGAATTTTTCAACATGATGAAATGGAAATGATGAAACACACTCAAGTGTTTTTTTTTCTTTTTTTTTTTGAATTTTTTTTTGTGCATCATTCTTTTATGAAGAAATCACGCGAATCACTCAAACAAATCTTTTTGTATTTTTTACACATATGCTGCAAATATATTACTGAAGAAAAATTTTGCACTTTATGGAAAGAAATCTTTTTGAATTTTTTCAGATCTATGTTTCTATTTCTTTATGAATGCAAAAACGTAATTGAAATTAGAAAGATGAAACTTGCTCAAAGAAATCTTTTTGAATTTTTCAAACTTGTTTTTTATGAAGAAATGTACAATGAAGAGAAAATGATGCAAATTACTGAATGAAATCTTTTTGTATTTTCCACACTTATACTCCTTTTATTTGACAAATATTACTGAAAGAAAATTATGCAATTTACTCCAAGAAATCTTTTTGTATTTTTTTCAATTTGTATTATTTATTCAGAAACATAGCAGACAACAACTGGACTCAATGGGCTCACACTGATTTTTTCTTCTTGTTTTTTACTTTACTTTTTGACACTAAAAATTCAAATTGGACTAGACCTGAAACAGAAACACACCATAAGGAAGTTGGACTTACCAGGCACATTGACCCAACGGATCAAATGACCTGAGCCAGGAAAGCTTGACATATGAAATTAACAAAGAAAATATTTTTTCGTTTTCATTTTTATGAAACAGGCCAAAACAAAATCATTTTTTTTATTATCAGAGGATTTCAGAAAATTGAATTTATAGAAAATTTTGCCACACTCTCGATCCAATGGGCCCAAAAAACTATTCTTCTTATGTTCATGACAGAAATCTTCAAACAATGTGTGAATTCCGTTATTATTTTTTTTGCACAAATACTTGCTCACCAAATGGAAAGGGAAATTATGAATTGAAAACACAAAATCTACATAAACATGCATTTTTCTATTTTTTCAGAAATTCAGATACACTAGTTCCAGAGAAACCACATATGGCAATTGGCCTAATGGGCTCGAAAACTGTTCATCTTTCATTCTCAGTTTTTTGACAACGAGTTCAAACAAAATCACACATGACACTTTGGACAATTGTACTGAAAAGACTCTGTTGAAAATTTGCATTTTGAGATTTTTTTTTGATTTTGAGTGACTTTTATTTTCCAACTCTACAAAGAAAACTGAGTCAAACTTGGACCTGAAGAAAAAAGAAAGAAAAAAAAGAATCAAATGCAGGCAGTCTGAGCTTAACGGGCCGGACGGACCCAATTGTCAATGTGACTCAAGGAACAGAAATTGTTTTTTACATTTGTTGTTTTAAAATGAAATATGACATATGTGAAAATTATGCAAGGGAAATATTTTTTTTATATATGTATATTTTTGAGAAAACAAGCTAAGGAAAAACTAAAATTCAAAAAGGGCCCAAATGGGTTCGACAACTACTATTCACTCTCTTGCACTAATTGTTTTTTTTTTTTTTGGAAAATGAACTTGAACTCCTTTTTTGACAATTTTTTTTACAACAACCTGTTATACAAAAGCAAAGTATGAAAACATATTTTTGACATTTTTCAAAAGAAGTAGACTCGAGAGAAAACCACAAAGGCCAATGGGCCTAATGGGCTCGAGCACTGTTCGCTTCTTTTTCTTTTTTTTTTTTTAGATTTATTCAAAATGCAGAAGAAGAAGGAATAAAAATCAAACAAAATGGTGTGATGTGAAATTACAAACATGCCAAAAATAATTCTTCACTCAAATTTATATTTCAGAAGAATTGGGTTCAAAGAAGGTTAACCTGACAATGAGGCCCAATGAACCTGAGAAATGCCTTTTATCATGCAAATGTAAAACAATTTTGAACACTTCGAAATTACATCACTCCACTTATTATTTTTTTTGAAAATTTTCCAATTATCATATTTTTTATTTTTTTTTTGGTTTATTATTTTTTTGGTGAAATAGGATCATCCAAGAAGTCTTGAATTGGGCCGGATCGACCCAACAAAACCCTACCCGTTTTCAGATTTTCAAATTTTTTTTATTTTTTTTTTTTAAAACTTAGAAAGAAATCAGACCGACACCAGACGGTTGCAGCGACCGGAACTGTAGTCACAGTGGATTTGCTTGGCTATAAGTCGAGAGCTCCTCCGCGTTGGGCGACATTTCTCGATCTCGCTCTCTCTCTTGCTCTTCTCTTTCTCCCTCTACTCTCTCTTCCCTCTCTTCCTTGAGTGTCTGGACTTCTGCGAGGAGCCTCTGCCCCCGTGTGCTTTCGGAGGCGTCCCAGTGCTGCGACGAGCTTCTGTGAGCCCTTCTGCTTCCAGGTAAGTCCTCTAAGATCTTAATCCTCTTCCTTTCCTTTAAGTTTTTTTTCGTTCTTCCTTTTTCCTTTCCTCTTTGATGCTTTCTTTTCCTTTTAACTCTTTAGCTTTCTGTTTCTGCTTTCCTCCCCCTCTCCCTTTTCTGTTTTTCTTTCCTTTTCGCCCTTCATTTTTTTTATTTTTCTGCCCTTTGATGCTTTCTCTGCTTTTTCTTCTTCCCGTTCCCTTTTATATTTCCTTTCTTTATGCTTTCTGATCTTGCCTTTTACTCTTTAGCTTTCTGCTTCGCTTGCTTTTATTTCCATCTTGCCCTTCTTTGCTTTTCTTTCTGAGTCTTCTTTCTTCTTCCTCTTTTTTTTTTTACAAACTTAAAACACTTAAAAACACAACTGTCTTAACAAAGATAAGGGGTATATAGGCTGGAAACCAGACGCTAATCTCCCTTCGTTTGAAGGTATGACAGAGACAATCGGGTAGAACAACGCCACGTACCCCATAAAAACAGAAAACTTAAAAAGAGAATTTAATTGTATGCACCGGACATGGACAATATGGACAAGGACGACTGGACATAGATCCGTTTAGGAACCTTTGCGAGGACCGTGAAACAGATCTGAGACCAGACACTGAAATAATAAAGACTGACCGAACAAGAAAACCTAAAAGGAAACAAAACACATAACTGAGAATCTAACATTCTCGCTTTTTGTTTTATTTTTGTTGTTTTTACTTTTTTTATTTTTGTTTTTGTTGTTGTTTTTTTTTTAGAAAAAATCGAGATGAGTGATATGGAGATGGAGAGGTACACCAGTCAGCGGTGGCGACCTACAGAAGATCAGGTCAGAATGATGACCAATATCTACAACCATGGGGTCACACATCCCAGCAGAGCCCAAGTCGTCGAGATTGCGTCTCGACTGAGGGTTTTTGCAGACGTCAGCGAATACAACGTCCACTGCTGGTTCAACAACCACAGCAATCGGATCAAGCGCTGGCAAGCGGAAATGGACCCCACCGGCACTCTCTTCTCACAACTGCCGCTATACATGTATGGTAAGCACCCCGATCTCCTCCAACTTTGTTGTTTTTTTGAAATTTTCCCTCTTCCTTATTAGTGACACAAATTTTCTTTTATTTTTTTTTTTGGAAGAATACGACTGGGTGATCATGAGGGCGCCGAGGCTGCTGGACTTGTTCCCCGTTCCGATCATCATTGACGACGATAGGGACGGACGACAAATCGCTCCACCCATGCTTCTCACATTCCGGACCAGAGCTCCCTCGACGGAGCTCTCCCTCAGACCACCGCAACCAGCTCGGGAATTTTTTCGCTGAATGCTTTTTTTTTATTTTCATCTTTATATTTTCATGGTCTGTAATATTAACGATCACCCGTGATCGAACTCTGAACATTGTTTATTTTCTTTTGTTTATTTTCTGCTCTTTTTTTTTGTTTTTTATTTGAATTTGTGACTTTGCACTTTTTTTGTTATATCTGCTTTTCTTTTTTTTTTTTATGCATTTTTATTTTAATGTTAAGATCGTATGAGTATATTCAAAATGATGTCCTTGTTCAAAATCAACTCTCCGACCTTACTGTAAATCTCTCTTGATGGTGAAATGAAATGGATTTTTATGCTCTTTTTTTTATTATTTGGTCCAAAGAAAAATTCTAATCGAATAAACCTTTGAAACAAAGAAGAAGAGGACATAAAAAAAACATTTACGATGAAGGAAAATAAGGAAAATAACTTCGAAAGATGAGAACCGAAGTAAAACTCAAAATTTTCATGAAACAACGAAGAAATGAGCTCAAGATAAGCCTCTGATGGAAAACATGATGAAATACACGCTGACACAATTGCATGAGTGGAAAACGCGTCTCGCAAGAAAACATCAAAATCGGGCAAATCTGACGCTGCGAACCTTGTTTTTGATTAATTTTTCTATTTTCAAAAAACAACAGTTTGACAATCTGCAAGAAGACAAGTGATTCAATATTTTCTTTGATTTTTGTTTTAGTTTTTTTTTTCGACACCCTATTAGGACATGATTTCCAGTAAACCTTGGAGATACCAAGTAATGAAATTTTACATTAAAATTCATGGATGAGAGCGTGATATCAATGAGCATAAACCTCATAGGAAGACAAATTAAAGCACGAGCAAAACAACATCAGTTCCACCTATGTTTTCCCATATAATCCGAGAGTCCTCTTCATTCGTCCATGGCATTTGTAGAGATGAACTCACGCCTCGCCACAGTGCTGGGTTAACTTTCTTCAAACTTTAAATATCTTGAATGAATCAAAGTTTGCCTTCGCGCTTGAACCACCAGTACTTTTGGAACGATCAATGGCCACTCCGTGGTAATCACCTTTTGTGTATGTTGTATCATGAGTCTTGAGGTATTGAGGCTTTAAAGGCTCCATGTAACAAGTGGAGACCAACCTTTTTTATGCATAAGACTTGGAAGCAATGTTGCCTAAGTCATATGGATAGGAGTGAAACTCGTAGGCCTTTTCTCTTGATCAATCGTTTTCTACCCGACAGCTTGGTGGGAAGTTGAGTTTGGGCTGAGTCCAATCTTGTCTCGAAGTACTTTCAAAGGGTAGGACAAACGGTATTTGAGCCGTAGGATGTGATTGAGCTCTTTCTTCTCTCCTTGTCCGAGGCTTAGACCAGACTTGATCACATTCGTTCTCATGGTAAGACCTTGTACAATCTTCTCAGTCTTCACACCAATTTCAATTCTTTCTTGGATTATCGCAAGTTTGAGAAGCTTTAGGAAAACACTGCTCACCATGGTCTTACAGAAGGGTGATTACAGAGTATTTAGGAATGTGTCAACGATCTCGTTATCAGTTGAAGAGAGAAATGATGGATTAGATGGTGGAAATTGGTGATTTTCCACCATGGAAGCCCTTGGAGCATCTGCTGCAGCGTCACCCCTAGTCTCCTCTCCGTCCAGATCTGCTTTTGCAACTCCTCTGAATCATCTTTTAAAGAGAAGGGTTCAATAATTGAGTCACACGAGCGTCCAATTTTCTGGACGAGCATCCCAATTCTGGACGAGCGTCCACTTTCTGGACGAACGTCCTCTGCTGGACGAGCGTTTCGAGCGTTATGCACGAGCGTGGACGAGCGTCCACTTTCTGGACGAGCGTCTACTTTCTGGACGAACGTCCTCTGCTGGACGAGCGTTTCGAGCGTTATGCACGAGCGTGGACGAGCGTCCTCTTTTTGGACGAGCGTCTACTTTCTGGACGAGCGTCCACTGCGAGCTGAACGAGCGTCGCTATGGAACGAGCGTGCGCTCGCTATGTGACGAGCGTCCGCTCACTTGGCGACGAGCGTCCATGCAACACTTTCAAACTTGGCGCTTCATCTACCTTTTATGGCTTTCACAATTTTTCTAGCACCTCAAATTTGTGCCTGACAACCTCAACATTGACTTGGTGAGAAGATTTCAACTCAGGCAGCTTTGTCCTCATCGTGCTCACAATACTTGTCTTAATAATTTCCCCAAAGGACCATGCAAGTGGTTGTCCCTAGTTTGTTTCCTCTTCCAAATGTGTTCTCCTTGGTCTTTTGTGGGCTTCATGACCCGAGTCTGCCTCTCACGGTGGAGTGTAATACGAGGAAAGACCAATAAGGAGGGAAAATTTGTGCCACTCAAACTCTATTGTAGTTGTGGTGTGTACAAATCTCCAAGTCATTGTAAGGCGTTTAGGGCCTTTAAGATTAAGCTCATTTGTTCCTTCAGTTGCTGGATATCGACTTTCATTCCTTCTTTTTGGTTCTCCAAGATTTGTGAACTGGTTCGAGTCCTTTAGGGTATCTTAGATGTTTAGCTGTATTTTAGTTTTTTTTTTTT